AGAGAGAGAGAGAGAGAGAGAGAGAGAGAGAGAGAGAGAGAGAGAGAGAGAGAGAGAGAGAGAGAGAGAGAGAGAGAGAGAAAAAAGAGAAGAGAGAGAGAGAGAGAGAGAGAGAGAGAGAGAGAGAGAGAGAGAGAGAGAGAGAGAGAGAGAGAGAGAGAGAGAGAGAGAGAGAGAGAGAGAGAAAGTATTTGTTAGGAAGCATGTGGAAAAAAAAAATATTTCCTAGTTCGGATGCCACGTGGGTCTCTAGATGACTTTGACACTCCACCGTCCACACACGATAATTCTTTATTGGTGCCCCCCACCCAAAATTTCATTCAGTGAAACACATGTTTGATTCTAAAGTCCTCTCCACTTCTTTGCTTGTAAAGTCGATTAAACAAAAATATAGTAGAACAACCTTCATTAATTAAGTAGTGATTAATTAAGTGGTGATGTAGCAGCCACCATATATAACTATATATCAAACAAACTACTACAGAGAAACGCAAATGCGCACCATTTCTATTTTCAGTCTTTTTTTTTTTTTTTTTTGATGTTTTGGAAACTCGTTACAGTTCTTCATATCAACATGGCCTCAACAATATTGGAACCTGGATTGAAGAATGCCCGATTTTCCTTTTCTCAAACGTCAATGGTTGTGCCATTTCTTAAGTGACGGGAGTGACTTGAAAAATACATACTGTAGAGGTGAAAATCAGCTCCCGATCCCAATAATTGTGTTATCCGTTTGACTTTAAGCTCTGATAATTGTTTGAAACTTCGAGATTGGGAAAATTCCCTAACGCTCAAGTCCGAAAGAGAAAGCTGGCATCTTCCTATTCAAGAATCAAGATCTCACTCCCTTTCCTAACCAGAAAATTTACAATAGAACTTTTTCATAAGCAGAACCTGGCACTCAATTCCTCAAGTTGGGCTGGAATAAGTGTCGAAGTTGGGCTATTATCAGTAGGCCTAGCATGATCAGTTTCAAACAAATACTAAGGCTTAATTTAGTATTTTAAAAAAATTACTTTTAACTGTGTGCTTGTGCAGAAAGAAAAAATAGATATTACAAAAACGCAGCGAAGTGTTTAGTAAATTATAATTATAGTAGTTGTATTAGTTTCAAAATTAGTGTAATAACGTTTGATAAATTATGAGATTAAATTACTGTGGATAGTTAAAAATTATGTATAATATATATAATTATAATATAATATATATTTATTTTTATATTTAATATAATACAAAAACTATTATTATATAATATATTATATAATTTTTTTATTATATTATATTAAATAAATATATTATATAACCATAACGTGTGTAATACACTATAATAGATAATAATATTAGAATTATAAAATTATATTAATATTTAATTATTATATTATTATTAATATAATAAATATAATTATATCAATACAATATAATATATATAATATTATTATAATATTATTATAATGTCATATTATATGATAGAATAATAATATTAGTGTTATTAATATAATTATGATATTCTTTGTTACAATATTACTATTATATTGCATTATATTATATTATATTATTGTATTATTATATTATATTATATTATATTACGAGTCTGAATTTTAGATTGAGAATATTGTAAATTTTAAATTTTATTAGGGATATTATGGGTATTATGAAAGTTTCATTAATTGTACTATGCTAATTCTCGTACAATCTAAAAATTAAAGTTGCATTTGGGCTGCTTTTTTATTTTGGCTGTACATTCTTCAAAAATTCTTCAAAAAGCACCTTTGAGGAGATTTATCAAATACTAAACTCAGCTTTTGCTACGAGTAGAAGATGATTTTGGGAGCAAAAAGAAATACCAAACGCAGCATAAGCCCCATTTGTTTTACTGGTTTAACTCAGTTCAGCTCAGTTCGAACAGTAAGCATAGTTTAAACTTGTGTTTAGTAAGCATGCAGTTCAAATTATACTTCCCGTTTAAACTAAGTTAAACTGTCTAACTTGAGTTTAACTCTACCTTTAAGTTCAACCGTTAAATAATTTTTTGAACAGTAAAAAGATGCTCACTCTCTCTGCTTTTCACACCTACTAAACACTAATTTGAATGTTATTTCCTATTCAGATTAAAATTTTAACTGTACATCTAAACGTCAATTCGAATTATAATTTAAACCACATCGTTTGAATTTTTCTTTTCGAACAAAAAAGTTCAAATCAACAAAATTTGAACTAGTGAACCAAACAAATGCTACGAGAAATAACAGAACTTGTAATAAATAGCAAATTTGTATAACTAAATTAAATAGATAGCAAATTAAAAAACTTATTTAATTTTAAGACTTGTTTAAATAAATAACATTTTGTTATGTAAATGTGTCATTTATGACTAGTAATAATTAATTTACGTGATAAAAAATCTTTATTTACGTGAAAAAAATATATTTTTAGCACTCGTAAAAAAATTTACGTGGACAATTTTTTTGACTAGTCGTAAATGCAACATTTACAAGATAAACGACTATTTACTTTAAAGGCATGTTCTTTTGTCCAAAAAATTTAAAAAAAAGACAACTCAAGTTTCAACTTTATTCAAGTTCATGTTCTTTTAAGTTTCAACTTTATTCAACTTTACTCAACTTTATTCAAGTTACAATTTCAACTCAAGTTATAACTCAAATTCAACTCAAGTTATAACTCAAATTCAACTCAAAAACTACACTCAAGTTACACTCTAAAAGAACAATCCAATAATTTTAAAATATGCTATTTATTTAATTCTACATTCTCTCCAGAAATAGATGTCCACACATATGCTTCAAAATTTTTCACGCACGCAACTATTTTCCTTATGGATTTAAATTTTAGTGTCCCAATTGATATGTGATAATCACAAAAAAAATTAGTTAAAAAACAATAAAAAAATGTTATACGCAACATGATATGATTAGTTAGACAACGATTTAGACACCAAAATTAAACATAAAATTTGAGTCCCTTCCTTGCCTTGCGATATAAGTTTGTTTGCCAAAATGTAAAGTTTGGTAATATTTTCTCCACTTGGAAAGTGTAACGATCACTCGATGCCACATTCAATCGGAGTGTAATGAATTTTATTTTGAAAGGGTTACATTTCATTTCATGTAAATTTATAGCACTTTCATAACATTATAGTACTTAACCTCTAATCCAAACTATAGTATTCACCATGATAAATAAAAGAAAATAGAAATGAACAAAAGAAGAAAAACAATTAAACCATTAAAAAAAGAAGGAAAAAATCACTGACAACAAATGACTTTGATCATAGTAAAAACCCAATACAACAAATGTGAAATCGTTCACCGGTAACTTCTATAGGAAGGGCTGTACATACAGCTCTCTGCGTACTTCACCAGATCTTTGGGCTGGGGAAGGCGAGTGGCCAAACCTACAAAAATAATTGAAAAGATAAATACTTAATCACAAATTAAAAAAAAAATGTCATTGAAAAGAAAGCATATACTTTTAGCTTTATGCATCACTAACTGAAATTTTTTACGTCTTCTAAAAGCAAAAGACTTACCAAGTTCATATGCTTTAGCAGCTACATTAGCAGCAATGTGGGCTGAGATCTTTCTGATGTTAGCAAACGGAGGGTATATCAGTCCCTTGTCAAAGTTTTCCTGCGATACCTGCGCTGCCAACGCTTCGGCTGCTCCAACGAAACAGGACAAGGCAAATGAAGTTAATGAGTTCTCATGGAACAAAAGCCTCTCAAAAGATATAACTTGTTGTAATTTGTTTTCTTTTTAATCTGGGGTGTTATGTAGAGCAATACTGTCAAATAAGTCTCTTGTGAACTTACAAGCTGCCAGAAGCATCTCGTCGTGGACACGGATGGTACCGGACATTAATAAACCCAGTCCAAATCCAGGAAAAATGTAGGCATTGTTTGCCTAAATAAAAGCAAAAACGATTGATTATTTGATGTTTAGTCCTCCGCGTCTCATATACAGAAAACACGTCAAAAATTCTATACAGAACAGACCTGGCCAGGCACGAAAACCTTTCCCTCGTATTCAACAGGTGGAAATGGGCTTCCACTGGCAAAAATAGCACGACCCTGGAAGAATCAAAGTGGATTAAAAAAAACTCAAAGCTCTTACAGTTTTACAAGCTTAATTATATAATACAAACATACCTGACTCCAAGTATATGCTTCTTCAGCAGTGCATTCAGACTGTGAAGTTGGGTTGGAAAGAGCTAGGATAATGGGTTTCTACAAATAATTCAAAACAGTGTTTAGAGTTCGATTTGAAGTGTGCACGTAAAATTCGTTGTCTTTTAGTAGTTTACAGGTATAAAGATGAAATACCTCATTTATGGTGGACATAGCCTCAATCACTTCCTTGTTAAATTGTCTTCCTACTCCAGATGTCCCGATTAACACTGTTGGCTTGATTGCCTGACAGAATAAAACATGGAAAAGACAATTAGAAACTTTATCTCTAAGTTACCGTTAGGGGAGAGAGAGAGAGAGAGAGAGAGAGATTTCATACATTGATTGCATCTACAAGTCCCTTAATCGGTTCGTGCTCATGAGCCCATGGCTTCTTGAAATGTTGAAGTGATTCCAGACGAGAACTGACAATCAATCCCTGCAGAAGGACTTCTATCAAAACTCCAAATGATGCAAAAGAAATAATAATCTACTTCAGACAGCAAAGGGGCAAGGAGGCAAAGACAGTTTTCACAACCTTCGAGTCTACAAGCCAAATCTTCTTACGCGCCTCTTCCAGTGGGGTATTTGTCTGCACAGCAAATTGGATGTAACTTCTAAATGTGTTTAATATTGTTCAAATTCGTCAATATTTTCTAATATAATTCCAGAGATATAAAAGAAAATGAGGAAATAATAATAGTAGCTTATAACCTTTTTTGCAATCTCAAGGGCTATAAGTTCTGCTATGCCAGTGCCTGCCTGTAACCACCAAATACAAGAAGTGAGCCGTAGGAACAAAGTGGCAGCAGATAATCTTATAAAAAATTTCAAGATTCTGGAGGTATCTAATATTATGGGAGTTTTAGTCCCTTTTTTTTCTCCTACTTGCATATTCCCCAATTTTGACAAAATCCAGTATATATTATTACAATTACCCTTCTTTATCACTAGTTGGGAAAGAAAGCAGTTTGTGAATCTTTATCGCGGAATAAAATGACTCACCTCTCCAGCACCAAGAAATAAAAACCTGTGGTCGGATAAGGTTCCTCCAACTAACTTCAATGATGCGACAAGACCTGCAAGGACCACAGATGCTGTCCCCTGGAATAATGTGATTATATACATGTCAGGCATATTATTATACATTCCATTCCCAATAAATCAGTACCGAAGTATTGAAATTTGAAGTATCTACCTGAATGTCATCATTAAATACAAGGTGAGATGTGCCATATTTGGCAAGCAGATCAAAAGCATTGTGATTGGCGAAGTCTTCAAACTGCAAAGTATAAGGTAAATTTATTTAGACACTAGAAGAAATACATGTATCAGTCCAAGTATCCAAGCAACTAGTTGAAAAAAACCTTTGCACATAACCATATACCTGAACGAGAATTTTCTCCCCGTAGTTCTGCTTAACAGCTGTCATAAATTCATGTAAAAGCTCGGCATATTCCTGTAGCAAGAAAGACAAGTAAGCAAACTAACTTCAGCACCACATCACAAGATAAATTGTCTCAATGTCATAAGTGAACACCAGCTGAGTTGAGCAGAGAAAATTAACCTGCCCAGTTGCTCTCCTCTGCCTTAGTCCTATGTAGAACTCATCGTTCAACAGCTTCTCATTGTTTGTACCAACATCAATGGTTACAGGCAAGCACTAACACAACCAACATACAATAACTTTACTCGTGGGTAACAAGACAGAGATACAATTGAATTATGAAAGATCAATCATTATCAGAAAATTATTCTGAACTTTAACAGGATCAAGTTGGCACTCACCGCTGAAGGCCGGACACCTCCAAGTGCTGTATACAAGGAAAGCTTCCCCACAGGGATCCCCATTCCCTGAAGACACATAAATATTGTTATCAACTAACTCAGCTACGTGCGGGAGGGAGAACTCGTGTAAATAAAGGAAAAAAAGAAAAAAGAAATAGACCAAAAACTCAAACGTTAATACCTAAAATTTGAAAGCAGAGATCTTTAAGCAAAAAATCACAAACAAAGCCATTCAAGAAAAATATCCCTACAATTTACCTGACAGCCAAGATCACCAAGCCCCAGAATGCGCTCCCCGTCAGTTACAACAATGACTTGTATATTCTTCTCAGGCCAGTTCCTCAGTACCTCAAGAATCTTCCCCCTTAATCCAACAAAAATAAACAGTTTCTCAGTTTTTGAACAAAATAAATGCATATTATACCCTTGATATGGGATTTGGTCAGTAATAAGAAAAACCAGAAACAAGATCCTTGGAATTAACCAGCAACACAGAGAACTAGAAAGAGGCGCAACAGAACATACTTCTCTCTCAAACTAATATAAAGACCCTGAGGGCGCATAAAAATGCTCCCATATTTCTGGCAAGCTTCACCAACAGTTGGAGTATAGACAATTGGGAGTAACTCCTCAACATGGTCAATTAGAAGTTTGTAAAACAACTTTTGATTTCTCTCCTGAAAAGCATTGATATAATTAAAAATTTTAACAAATATCATTTTTTGAAAAATCTACACTACTAATCTTCAAGCCCAAAATTAAATGAATCATGTGGACGGCTACCTGAAGATCCATCATGGCCATGTACTTCTGCAGTGGCAATTGATATTGACGAATGTTGTGCATCATTTTCTTCACCTGAAAGTGGAATGGGCTAAACTTCAACTTCTAATATCCAAACAACGTTTACATTCATTTCGTTAATGACGAATTTTTATTCAAGAAGTGAGAGCTAAAATCTAAAGCCGGGGCGAAACCTGAAGTTCTTGTGAAACAACCGTCGGGGGTAGAAGACCACGCAAGTAGTGGGCATCTCTCTCTTTATCCTTGAAGGCAAGCCCTTTGTTGTGATGTGGATCCCGCAACAAAGTATATCCACTGCAAACCAAAATGAAAAGCAATTAGCAGAGGCAAAAACAAAAACATAGCAACAGCAAAAAATATATGGTCAGTATAGCACCGCACAGTTGCTTTGTCTATGGTATTGGTATAGCTAGTCATATTGTCCTTTCCCTTAATTTATTCACATGATAAAAAAGAATTCCATCTTTCCTCAAATTAAACTTTTTATATTTCTGTCATCATTCTACCATACAGATTCTTAGACTATAATCCATAACCTTTTACCATTTATTTATGAGATGAATATTAGGATATATGCCATTTGATACAAGACTCATCGAATAGAAAACACAATGAAGACCAGTATATTTTATTATTTTTTGATCACTTTCACGAAGAAATAAATAAGAAACGAATCATAGAACTTTAATAAAAACAAAACTAAAGAAGTATAGGAGGAAAAAAATAAAATAGAAAACGACACTTTCCCGTTCGAGTAACTTTTCATTTGCACATATATCCAACTACTCGTCTTATTAAGATCAAATATGTTAAACTGAAAGAAAGGTTCGAAAAATACAAAAGTTCACAAGAACATAATTTATTTCATAATTTTTTTTTCTTTGTTCTTTATTTCAGAGATAATCATCGAAACCCATCTTAACAATCAGATTGAAATTATAATATTTATTTCCAATCCTAATTTGTTAAAAACCATCCCAGCAAAAAATAATAATAAAATTAGAAAAAAAAAAGAGAGAGATGGTGAGACCTAGCAACAGAAATGCTCCAGGGGGTGACGAATTGGTCCTCGGTGGCGCTATCTTCGCCGTACACATCCTGGACCCCACCACCAACGGTGGATTTGTTGTCCACCTCAACCACCGACGAAACATCCTTGCTCTCCTTCAACGCCCCTTCCATCACAACGGTGCCGTTTCGCTCACCCGCCGACGCCACCACTTTCAGCGAAGCCGCGTATCTTCTCTGCCTCGTTGAATTCGCCGGGCTGTACAACTCCGAAACCCCCGCGTTGTTCTGCATCAAAAAGTTTAAATTTAATTAATTAACAATCCAGATTAATATCTAATTAGAAAGAAAAACCGAAACATTTCCATGAAGATCAGGATATTGAAAAATCGTAAGTTTTCTTCCTTTTTTTTTGTTTTTGTACCGGAGTGAATAGAAAGAAAGAGTCGAGAGCTTTCGAAAAAAATTTCGTGATTTCCAAAGCGGAAAAAAAGAGAAAAAAGGAAAACGGGAGATTGCAGAAACTGGAAAATGGAGCTTTTTTTTTTATCGTTGATCTGAGAAATGGGGTTGGTTTATATTTACCAAAAAGCATGTTCTGCTGAGGGAGATCATGGTGACAAATTTATGAAGCGAGAGAGTTTTTCGCTTCTTTAGACGATGTTTAGAGAGAGAAAGAGAACTGAGGAAGAGAGATAAAAGGAGAGAGGAGATAGATAGAGTCTTTCGCTTTATAGCAGGTCTCCGAGCTTTTCTCCGACTCTCAATCTCTCTCTCTCTCTCCACCTGGTGTTTGTGAGGAAAGCAGAGAGAGAAACAAGAGAGATCGGAAATGGCAATGAACTGACAAAGTTACGAGAGAGAGAAAAGAGAGCTTAAACGTGCGTCTCTCTATGTTTATATATAGTGTTTTGAAACTATGAGACGTTTATTTATAGATTAGAATAATCTTCCGATCAAACGTCTCATGAATTTGTCGATATATTATTACTAAAATACCCCGTGGGGGTTAGTTTCTGAGAAAGGACGGAATAGTTGTAGGACGGTGGTGTGTGGAGGGGATCAGATCAGACCAACAGTTTGTGGGACCCAACTTAAGTGGGGCCCGTTTTAGGCTGATGCATATTTATGGGAGTTAATAATTGACGAGGCAAATTGCTCATCATCAAGGACAAGTGCCCTTTGACATGTGCCCATTTAAAGTTGAGTATAAAAGGTTCTTCGTCATCGTTTAAATTTTTAATTTAAATTAATATATAATTTTATATAAAAATTTTTTACTGTAATAAAAAAATTAAATATGATTTTTATGAGAATTTTTAACTGTAATAAAATTAAAATTAAAAACTCAAATAGGTGAAATAAATAAAACTTTAGTAAATATATTTTCTGAGAACTTTTAATTATAAAAACTAGAATCGGTAAAATGAACGAGACATTAACATATTGTTTTTGAGTTGATGAGCCATCTTTTGATTTAGCTAAAACATTTAGCTCTAACATTTTTTTTTCTTTTCATATGTTAATGGGTTGAATATTTGATATTTTAATTCTGTTCATTTTACCGATTTGAGTTTAAAATTTAAGTTTTGTTACAATAAAAAATTTTTAAAAATAATCACATCTAATTTTTTATTATAATAAAAAAACTCTCACATAAAATTACATTTTAACTCGAATTAAAAATTTAAATCAATCAATCAAACAAACCAATTATGATTTCATTTCAAGGTTTTACCTAGTTAATAGATTGCCTGACATTATAATTGTATTTTGATAGGGCCGAAATTGTGCTCATCTTTTAAAGTAAATTGAGTTTGATTTTTTCTATTTCATCGTGAGCTTTTAAGACTCTGTTCATTTCACTTACTCAAGTTTAGAACTTGAATTTTATTACAGTAAAAAACTTTTATAAACAGTTACATCTAACTTTTTTATTATAGTAAAAAGTACTAATATAAAATCACATTTTAACTTAAATTAGCGAACTAAATGAGCCTTAAATCTCTATTATAAACGAAAGAGGTGAGAGATGGGATAAACTCAATATTTACTTTTTTATTTGAAAAAAAAATCAAATAGACAACTGGTAATTAGCACCAGAAATATTCGTGTGGGGCAAACGCAATGAAAAGTAGGTGAGCTATTCCTACTTAGCCGTCATATCAATATGTTCTTAGAAATGTCATGCAATTTACAGATATGGGTACGTCCTTTTTGTAACCCTAAAATTAAGAATGCTCTTCATCGAGTAATTTTCACGGCTATGTTACAAAGATCCCTCTCTTTCTAGACGTGATGTGCAGCAAAACACTTGCCCAAGATTGTTGGGACTATCTCAAACCTCTTTTCTTTTTTGTCTTTTCCATTTATTTTTAATTTTAATGGCATAGAATTCCTCGGAATTCTTTAATAAGAGTAAAATTTCACACGGGAGCAACCATAATTTTTAAACGAGGACAGCCAGAGTCCACCACCTTAGAATAAATAATCTAAAGTTTATATTAAAGTTTAGGAAAAATATTTTATATAGAATGTTAAAATTATTGTTAGGCCCCCACTTATAAACTCGAGTTTTTGAGTTGGATTGGCTTAACTGACTGGTATCAGAGCCTGATGTCCCGGGTTCGAATCCTCTTTTCGGGTGTTTCCTCCCCTAAAAATCATCACGTGTTGTTCCTCCACGTGAGGGAGAGTGTTAAAAGTATTGTTAGGCCCCCACTTATAAGCTCGAGCTTTTGAGTTGGATTGACTTAACGTTAGAAAAATCTACAAGTAGTAGTAATATATGAAAGTCTATGATATTATTCTATAAATTCGTATATAACTATATAAGTATGCATACATTTGTTTGATCATGACATAATCTAACACTTAACATTTCAGTACTGATAAACACCGTTTTATTGTAGAATTCTTCAAAAAAAGCTTAAATTCTAATGTAACAAACAAATGATCATAGTAAACGTGCCTAGTAAATCACATTTAAATGAAAAAAAAAAAGAAACAATACCCGATATAAATATGAGAATTTAAAATTTTAAAAGATACCTATGGAGCAATATGTTCATAGTAAAATTCTCCAAAAAGAAAATAAAACACAAAAAAAAGTTGAACTTTTTTTTTCTTTTTTTGTTTTTTTTGTTTTTTTTGCTAATGACATAAAAGTTGAACATTTGACCACTACATTTGAATTTGGGAAAGGAAAAAAAAAATACTATTCCAACAGAAAAGTAAAGCATAAAATACTAGACCAATATTATCATACGTCATTATTATAAGGAACAAACGGGAATGAAACATGTCAATAATGTGAAGAAATAAGTAATATAAACAACAACCGTATTCAGTTGCGTATTTAAATTTTCAATTCGAGTTAAGATATAATTTTATATGAAATTTTTTTTACTGTAATAGAAAAATTAAATGTAACTTTTTGTGATATCAATTTTTAAATATAATAAAATTGAAATTAAAAATTAAAATTGATTAAAAATCAACGAAGTCAAGGTAGGTAAAAAAATAAATAAATACATATATAAACAAAGGAAGAAACGAATATCCATTGGATTGAATGGTCCATGTTTCCTCGACGAACAATGATGGAGAGACCCAGACAACCATAGTTGGCAAATGGTAATGGACCATGGAGAGATCAGTGGGACCCACCTCCCACAGAACAGAACACACGCAACGTAAAAAAAATGTAGTGGTTCTTCCCTTACATTTTGGCAGTGGAACACTAAAATTAAAAATTTAAAACACAAGAAGCCAAGCCAACACACAGGAGAATGGGTTACATAAACACAATATCAAACCACGCAACGAATCTGGTATTATGGAGGTTTCGTCCCTGTCTGTTTCAGTATAAAGAGCTTGCCTTTTTATTTGTATGTATGTGTGTATGTATATATTGTTATTTGTATAGCTCTACGTCCCGGCGACGTGGCTCCACAGTTTTCCTTTCTTGCCTTGACTTTGTCCGCTTGGCCTTTTGGTTTCACCGTCTTGCGTGTCACCAGATGTGATCTTATCCCCATTCTTTATCGCGAGGTTGGATACCATCTGTCACGTGCATCTAACCCTTTTCTTTGTCTTTTTTTTTTTTTACCCTTTTTTGAGCGAGCATGTCGCCTTTTATTTAATTATTCTTATTTTTAATTGTAATTCAAATTTTTATTATAATATTTTTTAAAAAATAATTTTAATTTTAATTTTTTTAAATGAATTTATTTTTAAATTTAAGTTTTTAATTAGAATCAATAAAATGAATGAAAAATTTTGTTTTCATAAACCGTCTATTATGTATATTTTTTAATATGATGTAATTTTAATCACATTTAACGATTAAAAACTGACTATATCTATTGATAGGGAGATCCTACAAAAAAAAAAAAAAAGACCCTTATCGTTTATACTGTGGGAAAAGAAAACTTTTATTATAGATAGTCTATATATTTTAACTTGCACGCACGCTCACAAATGATACAATTAAAAACAATAGTTTTTATATCTAGTTGAAAAGAACATGTTATATACCATAGAAGTTATACCTCGTCAGTAAGAACTCTGTTATGTACTGTCGTTGTTGTATCATGTGCTGTTAGTTTTGCTTCTTTTTTCAGTTTGATGTGATTATGATCAAATCTAATAATAGTGAAATTATTTTACCTAAGATTTTTTAAATGTTTTCATGGATGTTGTAAATTTTTCAACATGGCCATTTGTAAATTTTTCATTATGCATATGCTTGAGTAATAACAATACTAAACCCTATGTAAGACAGATTTTGATTGTGAAATTTTTTTCTTGAGGACTTTTTATTTTTTTGTTTTCTTCCCTTAAGTTTCATATCCACATAGTGATGGAAGCCAATCTCTGACGTTTTTGTTTTTGTTTTTTTTTTTTTAGTGTTTAGAATTAAAAATTCAATATATACGAGTAGTATTTGGTTTGAGAAAAACACAATATATAATACAGTGATCAAGTCTATTTAAGCGTCGGTGAAAGCCATATAGATTGGATTTGGGGCCTAAAAAATTAAGAATGTAACAAAGAAGTTGCTTTGGGTTAATGGGTAGGTGGACATATGCCATTAAGCATGTAGGTAATAGCAATGGCAGTTGAAAGTAGGTGACAATGCAAAGACACACAAAGAACAAACGCTAACCAAAAGGCCAAACCCACTGGCTGTGTATCCAATTCCATTTGACTCCAATTCCAATAATAAGCTTTCTTGTATTTTCCTCTTCCTTTTCATGAGAAGACTAAAGTGATACAAGTTACTGTGGGTGAATTTGTGTATTGAGGATGAAAATAAAGCAAATCATTTCTAGGTTTGAGGCATATATAAATATATTTTTTAAATGTTTTATCTGTATTTACTTTTTAAAGTTTGTTAATGAGTTTCTATTGTAAATTACCCTCAAGATACAACAAACTTTTGAACATAATATCTAGCAATAATATTGTGTTCCAGAATATGAATAAAGTCTGTAAAGTTTTTAGAGAATTAATAAAGATATAGGTGTCATTTCATAAATAAACACATCCACTTCAGACATCACTACCATTCACACAAAGGTACATTTTCATTATAAATATATCTCTTCATGTATTAATGCATCTATTATAATAGATATGTCTATTGCTAATATGTATTCAGAAATGTATTAAAACATATCACTAATGGTTGTAACAATTCAAAACAATTCGAATTACAAATCACACACTCGCATTTTTCTGCAGAAAACCCACTGCTGACAGTAAGTTAGACTGTCAAACTATTGCAACCCCCGCACTGTAGCTGGTTTACGCGCTGCATCGGGTCACATAGGCGCTACAATGCCTATTTAAACCGCTGCAGCGGGTTTGGTAGTAACTTACTGCACAAAGTGTGCAGTTT